CAATTCCACTTGGAAAAAATCTTCTTAAAAGACTTCGGCCTGGCCAGTAACGATGATGATGATGATAAAAATGATGACGATGATGATAGTTGTGTTGGTTGTGATTGCAGTTGCGAAGAAGATGATGATGATGAGGAGGAGGATGATGACGCGTGTTTTATTGTCCCTCTCATTTTATCCCTCGCTATCTCTCCAGCCATTTTGTCCTCTATCAAATCGTGCATATCGTTCTGTGGGTTACATCAATAATGATGATGGAGATGACCATGTAGATGGAAATGATGATGACGATGATGATGATGATGTATGTAAACACGATTACGATTATTATTTTCAACTTTTTTTAAACACTTAAAACCAGCACGCTAATCAATTGCCAATTGCACCGGCCAGTGAAATCTCACGAATTCATCATTGACAGACCTGCCAGGCTTCTAATTGGTTGGAGAGTTGTAGCTTATGCTCGACCGCCTCCATCAGTTGCCTATCAAGTTCCGCCATGTCCAGCTTCAACTGGATCAGCTGACCGCGCAGGTCCTGCTCCCTGCAAATAAGTAACGCTGATTGGTTAGCTAATGGGCACTTGAAAAACTATTTCCTGTAATTAATTTATTTATAAATGTTGAAGATATTGACTTTTGAATGTTAACACCAGCAAGAAGAAATTGCAATTGCATTAAAAAACATTGACAAAATATTAATGACCAGTGCTAACACATGCATTAATAAAATTAATAATTAATTATATCACAATACTTTGCAATGGCGGTGTCTCTTTCGAGTTGGAAACTTTCTACTATATTTAGATCATGTAAATTCCCATCCAGTTTCGCTTTCCTAACTTCATCCTGTTGTCTCTGCAGCTCATTAAGGCTCTGCTTCAGTTCGTTTATCTTCATAAAAAATAACATTCAAATAATGTCTCGACCATTAATTTAGTCAAATAAATCATCAAAACTTAACAGCCTATCACGACGTACTAAGGCCTCAAGTCCCGCCTTTTCTTTCACGGAGCGTTCTAATTGGTTGTTTCTGTTGGCTAGCTCCTCCTTAACGCGATCCAAGGTAGTTTTGTTGCAACTCAGTTGATCCTTAAGGACGTTTGATTGCTCCTTGAGGTAAGATATGTGGGCCTCCAGGCGAGTCTGTTCATCGTTCAACTATGGTTGGTTGGTTGGTTAGTTGATTGGTAATATTGTTGGTTAATTAAATGATTGGTTGGTTGGTTGGTTAGTTGATTGACTGATTGGTTGGTTATTTAATTGGCTGGTCGAGTGGTTGATCAGTTGATTGGTTAGTTGTTTATTCTCAATGGAAAGTGTGATGAATCTTAAATACGGCGTTTCAAACAAATGTACGCTAACCATTCAATCAATCAATCAACCAATCAATCAATCAAACAATCAATCAATCAATCAATCAATCAATCAAACAAACAAACAAACAATCAATCAAACAACCAGTTCGATTCAAAAGGGCCGAAGACAATTGATAAACTTAAACGTGAACAACCGACCACGAAAAATTTTGTAAAACAATGCAAAACGTCCTGCAGTAATGCAATCGCCCACGTGAAGAACACCATCAGCACATCCCTGATTTAGAAACGAACCGGGGGCAGATCGCCAACGTGAAACCTCCTGCTAATAATGTCCTGCAGCTCGGAGAGCGCCAACAACAACTGACCCGCCTTCAAATCGCAAATATCGACGACCTCCGGGGACCACATGCGACCTTGACCTTTCACCTCCAGGGTCAGACGATGAATCTGACGGTATACTTCTAAGATTTCTTGGCGGAGCTGGACACCTATCACTGCTTTCCCGTAAAGTTTACCTGGTAGAAACCGATTGAAAAAATGATCTAGAATTGATCGTAACCGGTAAAAATTAGTTATTAACGAATAAAAGTTCAACACAATTTAACATAAAAATTAATCAAACAAAAGATTACCATTCGAATCGAAAGCATCTGATAGGATGTCGAGCTCAGCAAATAAGGAAGCTTCATTCAAATTGTTCCCACCCATGGCCAGCTGTGATTGGTTCGGAGATTCAACCTTGGACAGTAAGATCACGTATTTGTCTTCCAGCTTCAAAAGTTCTTCTCGCAAGTAATGGACCTGGTAATAATTTTATTGCAAAAACGATAAAAATTATATCGTAAAAATAATAAAAATGTATCATCCTTATTCCGTTAAGACAAAAGAAAGTTTCAAAAGAAATATTAATGGCGGTAGGGTCAGATCAAAAAATTTTTTTAAACTCAACTGACCACAAAATTCAAAATCAACTCCAGAAAATTCGCTTTATATGACCAACTGCTAACAACCTTTACAAGTACGTAGATGAATAATGAACAAATAGAAAGATGACAATTTGTTTGATTCGCCCCGACGTGCAGTCGAACCTAATCATTGCGTCGTCATTATGAATGAAGGATGAAGAAACATCTTGATCGAGACAGCATGGCTTATACAGGTGCACGAGCAAAATACCGTCACTGCACGTGTTTACCGATTATAACCACCGATCGCCTTCGTAGAATTTCAAAAAGTTTCATATTTCATAGGCATAAAACTATTGTTGAAAAATAATTATTCAATAAATACAAGTTCTAGCAGAATTTCCACAAGTTTCAACTTTCATTACTCAAAAAAAACATTTATGAGGATTATAATTAGGAGGTGCTCAAAAATAACAATTAGAATAATCGCAATTGCAAGATCTAAAAATAGCTGGGATTCCCAATACATTCGGCGAACCGATCACGACAAAACCACTTGTCAATCTTAACATCTGAGTTATCCTGCTACACACACACGCACACACACACACACAACTACACGCGCACACTTACACGCACTACAAAGAAACATACATACATATACAATCGACAAGACAAATGACTGAATTGAGCAAACATTATGATTAACGGTGAAAATAAATTTCCCTAGATTATCAACAATAGCAACTACATGAAGATGGCAGGGATACACGGATCACGGGGGGTGAGTTGAATGGGCGGAGCTATCGTTTGGCGCCAAAATCATCACAATATATAAATGGCAAAACAGGTCTGGTTAAACTAAATTCAGCTCTCCGACTAATTACGATAAAATTTAACAGTCTGATTGACCGAAATTTTTTTCGACAAAAAAAATAGATTTTTAGATTTTTTAAATAATATTTTTTTTTAATATTAAAATAAATATGAATTTTACAACGGCATTATTATATTTTAGTTTTGAACTCCTATCTGTGATCTTTCCAACTAATGGCTAGTCCCTTTCCTTAATCATAATATATTTTTTGGTTTATATTTTTTTAATATTAATAATAATAATAATTATAAATAAAATTATTATTATCATTATTGTTTTATCAGTATTAAGTAATGATGATGTTGATATGCTGATGATAACATGATATGACGGCATGTATCGCTACTCCAATGGGTTATCAAAACCTTCACTTCAAGATGATGACAATGTTATACAAAAAAATATTAGCACTCTTATCAGTAAAAAAACTGCCACTAAACGCTGAGTATGTGTGTGTGTCTGTCTGTCTGTCTTGTATGTGTGTAAGAGAGAGAGAAGAGAGATATAGAGATATATATATATATATATAGAGAGAGAGAGAGAGAGAAAGAGCTCTTCATTGCTCTTAAAGCGTTTATGCGTTCATACGTTGAATGTCATTTAGAAATTTTACTACACAGCTTTTGTCGAGTTTTGCTCTGTCGATCGAATTTTTGTAGTTTAAGTAAGTTCAGTTTGGCAGCGTATTACGTAAATAAATGTTTAAGAATATGTGAAGACGATCACATATACGTACGGATACAAAAAAGAGAGAAAGAAAGAAAAAAGGAAAGAAAAAAAGAAAGAAAGAAAGAAAGGAAAAGAGAGAGAGATACAGAAACAGAGAAATGTTTCTTATTCAAATAAAATAAAGTTTGGCTACTACAAGTATAAATAAGTAATACTAATAAATAATATAATTAATACGAATGATAATTTTAAAGGACATCCGCAAAGAATGACGACAACATCATCGTCGTTAACATCGGCAGGAGCAATGAATACTTTTACAAGTTTGACATCACCAACGCCATCATCTACGTCACCAACGTCATCATCGTCAGAAGCAGCAGCAGCAGCAATATCTTCATCATCGTCCTCGTCATCGTTAAATTCCTCTCACGGCACAAAAAATAAGACCAAATCGAAAAACATCGCCGACAAAAAACATACAAAGAAGCCTTCCACAAACAAAAATAATAATAATAATAATAATAATAATAGCAACAACAATAATAACAACAACATCCCCAACTCAATAGAACAATTAGTACAAAAAGGTTGCACGGCACATAAAGCGTGCAGTAGTAGTAGTACAAAAAGTAGCACACACACCAACACACACGCGCACATAAACACACGCACACACAAAAATAACATTACGACGGAAGAAAATTCGAGGATGTATAGAAAAAATAGGCCCAAACGACATTCCAGACATAAATCCTATTACATAAAAACACCACAGCTGTCTAAATTAAAAACTGGCCTGAAACAATTGTTAACGAAAATATCTACATTTATGAATAACTTGGTAAGATTTGTGTCTCTCTCTCTCTCTCTCTCTCTCTCTCTCTCTCTCTCTCTATCTGTGTATGTGTGCGTGATAAAAATACTGATTAGACACCTTTTAAAATCAATTAAATACTTACCCTTCATGATTAATTAAACACGGATTACGACACTAATTAAACATCAATTAAGTACCAATTAAACCCCAATTAAGTACTAATTAAGCACTAATTAACGTTACCTGATCACGAAACCTGATCAGTCAAAAAAAATTTCTTAGTAGTTCTTAAAGGAAACTAATTTTTTTAATTTTCTTTTCTTAAAGGGATTGAGATGTTTTTGCCAACCACAGATGAACAATCTTCGTAGTCATCATCACTATCGTCATCATCATCACCGTCACACCATGAAATCATCAAGCCAGGACACATTGTCGGTTAGTGCATTGAATCGAATGAATGAATGAATGAAGAAATGAACGAATAATTAAATAAATAAATAAATTGTAAACATAAATACGGATTAAAAACAACCATAAAAACAGAATTTAAAACACCTGGCGACAACTCAGGCAAACATCGAAGGACTATCAGCAGACCTATGTGCGCTATCAAAGACACTAAATAAGATAAACGACGGAATGTATTTAGATATCTACCAGCTTAAAACACTGTTAGCGGATGTCATGTACAATCCGGAACACGGATTCGAAGTTAGATTTAGTTTACGTAACCCCTTTTAGCGCGACTGAATACAATTTTAAAACTTTTCCCATTGTTTGATGGATGTATAAACACACATACACACACGCGCTCGAGCACACACAAACAAGCAAACACGCACGCAAACAAAATTCGTAGACAACTTTTCTCACCTTTGACATGCACACGCACGCACACACACAACGCAGCGAAAAGCCTACCGATAACAATTACGATCAAAACACGTACACACACATTATTCTCAAACACACAATAACAATTAATAACAATCAATAATAATAATCAATAATAATACGAATAATATTAATAATCAATAATAACAAAATTTTCAACAGAAAATAAGATGTGAGATCAGTCAAATCGTGCAATCAGGAAGTGCAATGCAGATCTTAAGATCCGTGCAAATCCCGGAGAGTCACCTGAAACCCGGGAAACACAGGAGAAGAGCAACGAAGGACAACATCACGCCTGCCGGTGTAGTACGACAACCTCCATTAAATTCATCGAAGCACTTGTGTCAATATGCTTGTAAAATGACCAAAGATATTTATTCGCAACTTTATGTTGACTATAGTAGAGTTAAAAGTTTGTAGCAAATTATAATTATTCATAATATTATTAGTAGTAGTAGTATTGTTATTATTAAGATTAGTAGAATTATTTTACAATAAATTCTCTTTTTATGTTCGATTCTTATTAGTTTATAATTGCTAGTATTAAACGCGACCCGATTGTATAAGTTTTTATTGTAAAATGTGAATGATGAAAAATTAATTAACTTATTATTTTATTTATTATTATTTAACATTTGATAGAACAGCTAACAAAACGATGCCAAACAAATGATACTTACCTCTACACATCCATTTGTAGTCTGTGTTCATTTTCCGCTTTTTTAGATTTATAATTTATACCGTTTTTTATCTACAGACATTTTTTTCTTTTTTTTGTTCTAATATTTTTTTTAATTCAAATAAAATCCGTTCTAAAATACACACACTGAATATTGAACTGGGATCTGCGATTCTTTCCGTTATATCCTTGTGACGAAAGCAATAGCGGAAATGACGTCACACACACACACACACACGCACGCAAACATTCATATTTTATCCAGGGCATCATCAAGAGATGTTTATATATTGTAGGTTTGTAACTAATTATACAATGATGTAAACGATTTCGGCTTAGCTATAGTTCAGTTCTTACCCTAGAAAGTGAATAGTATCATACTGCATTATACTGTATTGTATGCAACGTATTGTTTTGTATGTGTTTAAGATGTATGCTTGTATGAAGCAAGGTATCGATTACATTTGTCCAAAAATGACGTCACGGGTTTATAAAATGACGTCACACTTGTACAGTTACTATTTACATCCAAGGTATACAAAAAAAACTCATTAATTAGGCAGTTCGTATGTAACGAGATTGAAAAAAAAAATGAAGAAACAATTACAAACGTTAGATGCATTATTAAGAAGACCAGTGAATAATTTTTGGAACATATCAAAGCAAATAAAAATTACCTTGTTATATTCATTATCTTTTTCCTTTTCCAGCTGGTTGATTTTGTTTTGGGCCTCGTCCAGTGCACATGACAGCAATTTGCATTCGTTTGATTTCAATTCAACCATTCTGCCCATCTCCACTCTCGTTTCTAAAATCTGAAAAATATCAATCAATCAATCAATCAATCAATCAATCAATCAATCAATCAATCAATCAGTCAGCCAATCAGCCAACCAGCCAATCAATCAGCAAACCTCATTCTGTAGCGACTCGACGTATCCATTCTGTTCCATCTCACTTTCTGTCACTCTCAACTTTAAACTGGTCATCTGATTTCGAGCTTCTTCCTCCGTCATAGAGGCCTTTGATTGAAATGAAAAAAAATCAATCAATTATTCAATCACCCAACCAATCATGAAGCCAATTAATCATCAATTTATATCAGAATTTACCATCAATCATCGATCGTTCAATCAATCTATCAATCAATCAACTATGCAATCAAACAACTAATCAAATGACTAACTGACTAACTAATCTACCTATCACTCAACCAGCCAGCCAGCCAACAAACCAACTAACATTCAACATCTGTTCAGAAAGTTGTTCATTACACAGCATCAACTCTTCAATCTTCTGAGCAAACTCTTTTTCAGTGACCTTCCAGATCCTTCTCTCGTCCTCAAAGCCCCCACTCAAGGTCACAATGTCATTTCGAAGGTCATTTATGATGACCTCATACTCGTGATTGGTTGATTCATGTTGCATTTTCATCTGGTGCTTCTCATTGGTCAGTTGCTGGTCAATTAATATTAACAATTTACATTGTGGTAATAAATTAAGATAATTAGGTGATGCTAGAAATGCTTTTGATAATTGAGTAATTATTAACTTATAAAATAATTAAAACAACAGCTAAATTAAATAAAATAAATACATTTAATATTATGATTGATTACAATTCCAAAAAATTGTGTTAGAAAAAAATGATTTTCATATTTTATTCATTTAAAAAATTAAAATTTAAAAAATGGAAAAAAATTACTTCTAATTTTGTGAGAACATCTTCAGTTGTATTAGCGTCAATGAGTGACTGTAGTTCAGCATTCTTCTGCAGTAGTGTTATACCATACTGAGCTGCTATTTCCAACTGCTTATCCTTCTCATTTATGATCTTTTTTAACCTCTCCACTTCACAGTTAGGCGATTTGTCGTCATCCGAAGATTTGTTCGGAGAGACTTTTGAGTTTATGCTACTTTTGTCTGTATCGTCGTAACCACTGTCACAATTCTGCTCTGGGGAGGACTTTAAAACAAGGGATATGTAACTTTCATTGCTGTTGTTGGTGTTGTTTAGTGAAATATTGCAGATAGGAGAAGTTGTTGTTGTAATGCTTGTTGCAATTTCATTTTTGTCTGGACTAGAGCCATTAGGAGTTGGGCCACTTGAAGTTAGTGGCGAAGATAACGACATAGGCAAGTTATTTTTATGCAGTGATAAAAAAGAATTTTCAGCCGGATATAGTTGTAGACGAGATTCGTTATTTTTACTACTGTTTATTACATCATTTTTAATAGAGATAGATTTTCCTAGACCTAAAGCTAAACTTTTGTTTGTCTTGCTGACACTTTGACCGATTTCCTCATAATCTTCTCTCAGAAGTTCCTCATTACTGTCAGTTATTATTGATAGTGACATCCCTAATCAACACTTAGTTCATTTTCCGTGCGTTTAGCCTGTTACTAAGTGGGGTGTGCACTAATTGAATCGAATTGTTAAAAGTTGACCTGACAGTTTAGTAGTTTGATTTGACAGCAGTGAAAATGAAATTAGACAAATGAATGCGTCGTTGCTATCTAGAGTGATTATTTATTTACTTTCTTCATTTTAATGAAATGAACATTTTATTTTAATGAAATTTTTATTCAATATTGTCTGAAAAAGTCGTAAAATTTAATGAAATCTTGGTTCAAAAAATAGTTTACCAACACGAAAAACAACGCAAGTAAGCTTAGACGCAATGTAATGACATTTAAATTTAAAATGTATGGAAAGCCAATGCAATAAACAAACGAATGCTTCGTTGCTATCTATGCACTCCAAGGGGAGGCCTATATACCAGCATAAAACACCTTCTTATGGGTTGAAGCAGGGATATACAAAGAACCTCAATTTTTTCAACTTTTAATTATTTTCAGTAATGTCTCCCCTTGCTCCAAACCACATAACTAGAATAATAGGACTAATCGACCTATTCGATCTATCGGTCGGGCTATTTGTCGTGCTTGGATTGTTGGCTTACGAAATTGCATGGATTTTAACGAGCAAGCTAAATGAAATATTTACTTGATTTAATATGCTTAAAACATTGTAGTAATTCTATTTAATTTTAATAAGGATTAATAAAATTATCTATTAAATTATTTTTGTTAATTTGAATATAAAAATTGCTTTTGGCCCGGTGAAATCCGGTGGCTTACTGAAGCCGAAGGTTGGCTTAGTAGGATTGAACTATAGTCACCCTTTTTTTTACACTATTCGATCATGTTAAAAATTGGTTTGCTTATGAAATAAACGGCCTAAATAAAACAAAATTGTTATTTGAACAACTATTTTCATTATATTCAATGAATATTTTACATTCTGCCGGTGCTCATAAGAAACTGGCTGCTGAAATCATACGCATTGGCTTACAGCGGTGGCTTACACTTACAGGGTTTGATAGAACTCTTACGATAGCACTTTTTTGTACATATAATGCTTTAAATAAATCAATATATTCATATCAGTTATTTTTGTCAGTATAAATATAGAAATTGCTTTTGTAAGGTGAAAAACAGTGGCTTACTGAAGCCGTAGGTTGGCTTAATTGGATTTTTTCTCATGTATACAATACTATGAGATAAATCAATCAAACAATCAAACAATCAGTCAGTCGGTCGGTCGGTCAGTCAGCCAGCCAGCCAGCCAGCCAGTCTGTCAGTCAATCTATCAACCAACCGATCAATCAACCGATCAATCAATCAACTAAATTGAATGAACCAAATAAACAAAAATAAAAACAAAAATAAATAAAAAAATTTGCAAGGCCTGTTCAAACTCGAACAAACAGATCTACAAACAATTTCAAGATTTTAGTAAAGAAAAAAAAACACAGTAGTTGCTTTTATTTGAATTCATTCAAAAATGAAAAGTGACGGTTAATTAAAATTTTAAAATGTCTATTTTTTTAAAATTCGTATTTTAAATAAACAAATATATCAAAATATCGACCGATAAAAATAATTATTATCCATTATTATTATTATCATACACACTCCTTAGAAGGTCTCGAAGGATAATAAACCACGTAACATGAACATTTAGTAAGAACAGTTCACAACATATCATAATGACTAAATCAACATACTAAACAGAAATAATTTATACATGCATATATACAAAGTAAATCAAGAAATATCCAAAAATTATATAACCAATTTAAAAAAAAAACTAGAAACCAGTCAACATTTAATGAATAAATAAATAGGCATTATTAAAAAGATTGTTCAAAAAGGTACAATTTAAGGCTACGGCGAGAATGAAATGTAGTTTGTTTTGTTGGTGTGGTGTTGTGAAGCGAAAACAAACACATCACACAAAACTAGTAAGAAGTCGCAAGAATAATAGTCCGTCACCTACCTATAATAAAATTACTCTCAGGGCCCTAGCTTACTTATAACATTGACTCAACTCACTTACCTACAAATTTGTATTTCTCGTTTTAGATGTTTCAAGTATTTTATTTAACATATTTTAGCGTTTTTATTTTACTTGAAGATTTTTAACCAATGTTAAGCCCTAGCCTACCTACAATTGTTTAACTCATCTCAGTCCCTAACTTACCTATGAATTAAATTAAAGCCCGGTTCACGGTAAAGAAAATATAAAGTTGAAGAGAAACATAGCAACAACGACACCGAATGAATGGATGTTGTGTATGTATGTGTTGTATTGATGTGTGTATGTAAATGTGCGGGCGCGCACTCTCCAGAAACTTCACTCACTACCGACGAACCTCCATTGCACCGACCATCATCTGACACGCATCGATGGAATGAATTTGACCGGATACTGAAAAATAAATTGAAAAAAAAATTAATTCACTAAAATAAAAAACAAGCAATTGGAAAAAATAGGCAACTTATCTTTTTGAGATAACACTCAATCTTTGTTCAAATTCGAGTACTTTCAAAGGTACAATGAGACAAAAACAAATTTACCTTTAACATTATCTTCGATTTGTCATCGGAACGATCATCATGAGACCACCATCTGAAACGTGCTGACGCCCACCACAGCCCACCTCTCATCATTCTGTAGACAAGTTTTTATTAATTAGCGAAGTAGTAAATCAAGAAACAAAAGAACGAACGAATAAATGATTAATTGGATGATTGACCGATTGGTTGAATGAATAAATTAACTAATTAATTAATCAACCAATGATTTAATGAATGAAAAGAATGAATCAATGAATAAATTAACTGAGGAATAATTCGAAAGATAGTGATAAAATGAATGAATGAATGAGAAAAATAAAAAAAAGAAACTAAATCATACTTCAAAAACCATCGTTGTTGTTATCTTCGAATTGTCATCGGAACGATCATCATGAGACCTCCATCTGAAACGTGCTGATGCCCACCACAGCCCACCTCTCATCATTTTGTAGACATTTTTTAATAGCCTATTAGTAAATCAAGGAACAAAGGAACGATCGAATAAATGATTAACTGAATGATTGAATAATTGGTTGAATGAATGAGTGAATGAATGAATTAATAAATCAATGATTCAATTAATGAATAGAATGAATTAACAAATCAATTAATAGAAGAATAATTTAAAAGGTTGAGTGATAAAATGAACGAATGAGAAAAATAAAAAACGAAACTAAACCTTACTTCAAAAATCGTCGTTACTGTACTTTCCATTGCACCGACCACCACCATCTGGTCGGCACACAAAATACCATCCGAACTTCAGAGTGTCAGTCGAACAGCCAACGAGCTGATTCTTCCTACACCACCATCATCATATGTAAATCATCATGAGACCACCATCTAAAACGTGCTGACTCCCACCACTGCCCATCATCATTCTGTAAACAAAATTATTTTATTTGCGTAGTAGTAAATGAATGTTAGAATCTTAGAAGCAAAAAAAATTAAATTATAAAATGAAAATAATGTCAAATAAATAAAATTTTAAAATAATAAAGTAAGTAAAATGGGAAAAAACCTACCGTCGTCCATTCGACAAAAGGCAGAATGTTGAATGCGGTCCGGTTCCTACGTTGTCCTCCAAAACTGGTGCCAGTCCTCCTCGAGGTTGTTGTTGAAACACAGCCCGTGTTGATGGAGAAAGATAGAGAAAGAGTAGATTCTCATCAGAAAGCTTAGCGGTGCCTGCATCTCAAATTGCTTAATAAAAATAATCCTATCTACCTATTCAATTACCTTAACTAATCTATATTAAATTGATAATGGTACGATAGTCGAAAGTTCCCCTTCATTCTTCCTCCTTGCACAGAGGTTCACCGACAGCCAGGGCACCGGATAGAAAACCATTGCCGTGCGGATAGTAGACTATTGCCGTGCGGATAGTAAACCATTTGCCGTCCGGAAGCCGTGCGGGTAGTAGACTATGGCCGTGCCGCATGGTAAATCATTACCGTGCAGATAGTAAACCATTGCCGTCCGGATAGTAAACCATTGCCGGTACACCACTGGCCACCAAGGCTTACCTCTGACAACAGACTTCGAAATTCAGAGTCTATCGGCTATCGTACCCTCAACTTACCTATTCATTACAATTAAGCCCTAGCTTACCTAAAATTACAAAAAAACTCAAGAGCCCAATTCATTTGCCAATCGGCACCCACCCCACCACCTACGTAATGCCTTGGGCTCCAACTTAGTAATAATATAAAACTTAAACCCTAAATCTATTAATGAGTGTGTGTTACAACGTAGTCTTAACTTACCTATTCATTACATTATGGCCCTAGCTTACCTAAAATTACAAAACTCAAGAGCCCAATTCATTGGCCTTTCGGCACCCACCCCACCACCTACATAATGCCTTGGGCTCCAACCTAATAATAATAATGTAAAACTTAATAACTAACTTACCTCTCGATACACTTACAGCGTTTATTTAATTTGAATTACAAGATTGTTCCTAGAATTAAATTATTGCTTTTAACTACCTATGAAATTAAATTACTCTCAACCTTAGTAATAATAAATTAGAATGTGTAATGAAAATAAAATAACGCTCAAATACTAATATGTGTTTATGTATGTATTTGTGTGTATAATACGCTAATGCGTGTAATGTGGGTGCGAGAAAAAATAGAAGAAATAAACTTACGCTGCCTACCTATTCAACTACATTAGTGTTGGATGCTTTCTATCTATCCTACCTACAATTAAAATTATGTCTATCTAACCTACCTATATAGCTACTTAATGTAATTGTGTGTATGTGCGTGTGCGTTTGAGCACTCTTACTTAATGTTAAATTACAGAGAAAAACAGAGAAAAAAGAATAAAACGTATCCCAGCCAGGCGTATCTTCTTTGCCACTGAATGAACGAACGTAGCCTGACATCTTCCTCGATGAATTCCTTTGGAAGCTTCAACCTGAATAAA